CCGCCGAGAAGGAAAACGGCGAGCGGCCCGCGGCTATCTTCTCCCCCTCCCGGAAAACTCACCAGGGAGGGGGCAGATCCTCTGGCTCCTCGGGGGTCTCTCCTCTGGCTCCTTCGGGGGTCTCCGAAGCCCCCCCTCTACCCTTCTTCCACTCCATTTGTGCGGAGCTAAAGGGCAGCGTCCACCATCATGCAGACATCATGCAGACATGCGCAGAAAAAATATTTTACTATGTAGTCCTCCTTAGCATGTTTTGAACACACATTTTAAAACAGTGTGCAAAAATGCTAGAAGAATCTGTGGGGGACTGGGGGCTACTAGATTCTCTCTACCTCCACAAAGTCTGTGGAGAATATTTTTATTATAGTGTTACATTTATATCCCACCTTTATTTACATATTTTAGAATGATATACACAATGCCTCTACCACCTATTTTTCTTGCAATAACCACCCCTGTGAGGTGGATTGGACTAAGAAAGAGTGGCTCAAAGTCATCCAACCAAGCTTCCGTGCCTAAGGTATGACCAGAATTCAATCTCTCAGTTTCTAATCCTTTGCATTTTAACCACTGTTCCAAACTATAACATATGCATCTTTCAGAGGTTAAAATGAACATGCAGGGGTTTTGAAACAGCTATACAAGAAAATCAGAAGTGTCAGAGTAAGTCCATTTACTGTTGGAAAATGGTGTTGTCAACACAAAAACACACACAGAGACGCCACTTTAAATTAGGCTACTTCTTCAAAACTTTAGAAATCATGGGTAAAAGTTTATATGAGGAAGGAGAAGACTTTAAATATTTTGTTCCAGTGTTTTCATGTCCTATTATAAAAAAATTCTTTTCTACTTTCCTTTCTTCCATCTTATACTTAAAATAAATAATTTATTCAGGTGGAGTTTCAAATAAAGAAGCAGAAAATCTGAAACCTTTGTTTCTACTTATAAACTGCATTAAAAAGAATGAATAATTTCATTAGCATCATATATTTTATATAATAACTATTTAAATTTCATTTACCAATATCATAACAAATAATCCTAATTTCACTTTCATCCCTGAGTCATAAATCCCTATATTTTACAATAAGATGGATCTAGATTTAAGAGCAATTGAAATTTTGTTCAGCTGGCTATAATGAAAAGTTATAAAAGTTACAAATGGCAAAATAAACCACAGCCAGGAATTTAAACTACACACAGAAAAGTCCAATTAATATAATCCAGCTATATGTCTTTTAGCACCTTGTCACTAAAACTGCAATCTTTCATTCCTACTTTCATTGCTTTGGTCTTTAAACAAAATCACATTGTCTATCAATAACTGTCAGACACAGTTTCCCAAATAAGCCACACATAAAGCAAGCAATGACAACTTTATTAGCTCTGCTATGAGGTGGCTTTTTAAAAAAGAGCAAACTGACTATTAAAAAGTTTGCATCAATATAACTGATGGATGATAACAACAAATCAAAAATATCAAGTTTCTTCAAACTGGGATTTTGCTTTTAATGAACACAATGCCACCATCGTATCTTTTGCAAAGTTGTGCTGTGTAATATTTAGTTTGTTCAGGTTACTGAAAATGAAAAGCAATATTTCTTATAAGAAAGATGCAATAATATACCTAAAAATAGGTTATAGCATTAGCATCTGATAATTTTTCCCTGCTTTTCTGTTAATGTTATATATCAAAAGAATCCCACATTTTCATACATATTACCCTGTAAGTTTTATTCAATTAAAATTAAATAGAACCAACCAACTTTCCATTTATGTACTTAATCATTATCCCTTTTTGTCACAAATTAGAATATGATAGCATCATTTGCAGAAGATACTCCCAGCTTTTGAAAGCGGTATATAAAATTGGTGCTCAAGTTGTATACACCTTCTGTAAGATTACCATAGAATTCATTCATGGCACTAGGAACAGATTGCTGTGTCACTGATACATACCTGTGAGCTTCCATGACCAAATGGAGTGCTGGATAAATTTGTAGCGATGCTATGCAGGATAATTTCACCACTCATGGATCCTGAGGCAATATAGTAATCATTCCAATTAAATGACACACAAGTTATTTCATCTCTATGATCCTGAAGAAGAAAATATGCAAGCCTTAATTTAGTACAACACTCATGTGGCTCTAAGGAAATTTTGAGATTACATAATCACTATTTTAAATGGCAATAGCCTCTTTTATGGGAGAAACCTCCACAGAACCAAATGGGATTTATGTTTTAGGGTGTTTTATTATCAATATTTATACACCACATATATGCAAGACTTGTCCTACTACATGCCCCCTGATTATTCATATAATGTCTCCTTCCTCTAATAAGAGTACCTCTGGACCCTTCCAGGCTTTTTCCTATCTTTCTCTAAGAAAGATGCAAATTAGGTGCAAACAGATCCTAAAAAGGAACCACTTCAACCATTCTTTTTACTATGATCTCTGCAGGAACACAGAGATAGAGCTTTGATCCCTTTTCTCTCTACTTAGGGAAGGATCCAGCTCTTGCATCCAAACTTCCAGATCGCCTTTCCTACAAAGTTTCTCCATACTGTATCTAATTATACATCCTCACATGTACATTCACTGCACAGTACTGAAAGCATACAATACCAAATAAATTATATTTAATTGTTATCCCACCACTGATCCTTCTTCATTCTGACAGAAGCTGTTATTGGAAGTATATGTCGATTTCTAGTAACTGGGTCTTCTCTGTAACTCCAGATGCCATCCAAATGATTCTGAAGGCTTTATATCTTTGGAGAAGGGCAGGGATGCCACACGGATATAAAGGAAAACTTCCCATGATCACTGGTTGGGGTAATATGACTCTTTTCTACTAAAGTAGAAAGTTGAATAGCCCTGCCTTCAGAGATCATACTGTCACACCTTCCCTCCTTACTTATATTTTAATTTGATTTGAAATATTTGTTTCTCCTGCCAGTTAAAATATAGTTATTTTATATTGGTTTTGGTTTAACTGTAATAACTCCAGGAAAAATTTTTGAATTGTAAAGCGATTTATCAAATGTCTGATAAATTCCTAGAATAGTTTGCATTCTAAAACAGAATAATCCCTAAACAGTGCAATACGGTACACACTGATATGAATCCACATCCAACAAGTTATGCTAGAATATTTGGGGGGAACAGAGAAAATGTCTAATGCCTACTCAAATCTGCTAAAGCAACCATGTGCACTAAGAATGTTGCTGACCATAATAACATCAATTTTTATTTTTTTTAATTGACACTAATCTGCAAGATAATGATGATGGTTAAAAAAAATAAGAAGGCAAAACATAAGCATCAAACATCAACACAAAACCCTAAGGATATATCAAATTTAACCAATACCATTCAACAAAAGAAAAGATTTAAGAGGAATGAAAATTTGCCTCTGAAGCAAGTGATAGCAATGACTGTTCCTGAACTATTGTTGCATATTTACTATTCACCTTTAGCACAGAATGATCTATCTAATAACCATCAATCCAAACTATAGTGATGGGACTTAAGCTTTATCAAAGATATTAACTGCAATATCTAGCTCTGATAAACTTCACTTTTCTAGATGGCGACGAGCTTCACCCTCAAATCTGAATGTAAATCACATGGCTATGGGGTGCTGCAATGGTCGTAAGTATGAAAAATAGTAATAAGTCACATTTTTCAGTGCCGCTGTAATTCTGAACAGTCACTAAGCAAACTGTTTAAGTTGAGGACTACCTGTATATCTGAGGAACACTTTTTATTTATTTCTTAAGAGATAAAACCTTTCATCGGGGCAATGTAAAATAGCACGCCCTCCTTTAATTTCTATCTGCACAATAACTATGAGGAGTAGGCAACGTTGTGAGAGAGGCTGACTGGCCCAAAGTCACCTGATGAAACTCTATGGCTGAGAATCAACCTGAATCTAGATCCCCCTGGTCCGAGTCCAACATCTTAAGCAGAAGACTCTATTTCACTTCGCTAAATTACACTACACCACATCACAACAATTGTATTTATCTCACTCTATGATGTGAGAGATTTATTCAGATAAAATAAGAGTATCAAGGTCAGTTGAAAGTATCAGATTTAGGTTTGGGAAGGTGTATAACTTTTCCATCTCGGCAATAACTGCTCACTACTTGATTGTAAAGTCTGTGTAACATAATTATTTAGCACCACTGCTAAATAGCTATCATTCTGCTAGCACAAAGACATCTGTGATGTAAAATATGAGTTACATTTTGATATTTAAAGATTGGAGTATAAACCTAAAGATTTACAGGTGATATTAATCTCATATATATTAAATGACAGAAGAATCCCATAATAAAATATTGTATCTTACCTTAAGCGATCGGTGAAGTTTTCTGTATTTTAAATCCCAGATATTAACAGTGCTATCAATTCCTCCACTTGTAATATACATTGAATTCGAACTCAAGCTTATACATGTTTGCTTTGCCTATTTGGCAATAAATTAAAAAAAATAACCATCAAGGTAATATCAACATCAATTTTAAACTAGGATAAAATATTAATACAATCTGAGGCACTAATATAAATCTGATTAAAATAAATGACATTTTGCATTTTAATGAAATGAAGAAAAGTGTTCAACAAATATGACACACACAAAATAAAATGACATCTTCGTGATGGATTATTCAATATATAGTTTGAATTAATTTACCAACACCATACCACAAAATTAAAGTTAGTATGGGCCAATAAAAGCCCATTTGATGTTTTTCCATTAATATCAACCAATTAATTTCATTAATTAGATGTATAACCTGCTTTTCCTCAATGAACTTATGGAACTATACACTGTACTTTTTCCTTCTATTCCCCTCCCACAACAAGCCTGTGGAGTAGTCTGCTTGACAAAAAGTTGACTGGTCCTAATCTATTCAGCAAGCTTCCGTAACTGAGGTTGAATTTAGTCCAACACCTTAACCATTTTATTACTTTTAGCAGCAGAAAGATTAAAGACAAATTATAGTAATTACCTGCTCTTTCAACAATGTACTATGTGATTGATCAGTAATAATTGTTCTGGGTACTTTTTAAGTAGAAAAGAAGGATCAAAATATTTTAATTAAATAAATGAAAATGGATGTCTGAAATAATAATCATAGAACTAATAAATAGCAGCCTGTCTACCAAAGTGTATATTAAGTGGTCCATGAACACTTTAATTTATATTGCTGAATAATCATCCATTCTCTTTCATTGCTTTTCCCTGCAGCCTTCACACTGTGAAGAAGTTTGAAGCCAATTATACATTTCCTTTGACAAATGAAACAATTCTTCATTTATAAAAATAGACACCACATAATTGTATACAAGACTGGAAACAAATCATTTAGGTGAGTAGAGTCATAATATGGCAACAACAAGCTAGTGTCGGCCAAACCCAAAAAAGCTATGCCAGGTCAGAAGAGGTTAGTGCTTAGATAAGAGGCAATCAGGAAATCTTAAGGCTATAGATTAGAAGATTCTCTTCTTCCAGAATATTTTTTTTTTCAATGAAAAGCAAGTTTCACAATGTTAATAAAATCACATCACCAGGAACTGAGCTTAACTCAAAAGAGCCTGGATGGCTTTCTATAGAACTTCGGCCATTGTGGATTATAACAGAAAAGGCACTGCTTTGGAAATACCACTGGCAAAAGAACATTCACTCAGAAATGTGTACTGGTTCTAGATCAGTGTTTCTCAACCTTGCTGGCTGTGGAATTCTGGGAGTTGAAGTCCACATGCCTTAAAATTGTCAAGGTTGAGAAACACTGTTCTAGACACTATCAGCAAGATCTTAATAAGAACAGAGAGAAGAAAATGTCATAGTTAATAACAGCTTAAATTTTGAAGGCAGCATTAATAATGTATTGCAAGATTATTTTAACCACACAATAATAGCCAATAACACAGCTATAGACAATAGGAATTATGATTGCATAATTTACTATAATTTATTATAATTATAAGAAACAGCAGAAAGTTCTGAGTTCCAAAACTGCAAAGAATCAAGAAAACATTGCTTTTAAATGGGTTGCCACTTAATCTGATGTCCAATAAGAAAAGTGATCATAAATCTTACATATGACTTGTTTTAAAAAAGGTTTAGAACAGATTATTTCAGCCATTAGTAGCTGAGACGGAGCAAATTATTGTCCAAATGTGGACAATATTCTAAGCTGGAATTAATCTAAAATTGAAGAAGAGTTTTCTAATCTCTACTAGTGCTCATTGAGTAATGAATACTGTATTACAGAACAGCAACAAGTGGTTCCTGGATTGTTTACAATATTTCCTTGATTTGATTTTAGAGTACTAGGTTTTGTTCTAGACCAGGGGTAGGCAACCTTGGCTCTTTTATGACTCGTGGACTTCAACTCCCAGAATTTCTGAGCCAGCATGGCTGGTTCAGGAATTCTGGGAGTTGAAGTCCACGAGTCATAAAAGAGCCAAGGTTGCCCACCCCTGGTCTAGACCAATCCTTGTGAATTAGTTTTGCTGCTATTATATTCTTACATACAAGTAGAGATCATATTTTATGTTTTTCATTTGGAACATTCTGTGCTAAGACCAGCAGATCTTTTCCCCTTTTTATTTTGATGGAGAGGAGAGTGAATAAAACTGTCTTACACATACAAATGCCTTATATCTTTGAATTCTATTCACAAAAAAGTGCCTGGAAGTGCAGTAGTGGTACCTATATGCACTCTTTAGAGTAGCCGTGCCGCTGCGGCCTCTGACCCGGCGCAGATCTCAATTAGCCCCTTGGTTCACTGAGGAGCTGAGAGAGATGAAACGCCGGAAAAGACGCCTAGAGAGCAGTTGGAGGACGTCCCGGACCGAATCCGACCGAACACAGGTAAGGAGTCACATTAGATCTTACCTTGTGGCGATGAGGGTGGCGAGGACTAATTACTAC